TCTACACGATCTGAATTTGGATTGAATATCCTATAATTACATAAGATGTTATTAAAAAAGCAATAAAAAGTACTTTAAAGCTATTATTTTCAATTATGCTTATCCTCCATTATGCGGACTAAATTAAAATTTTTTAAAAATCTATTATTCGAACATTTAGTAGTCATCAATAATGTAACGATCAAGCAGATTTAAATATTCTGGAAATCTGACAATTATCCGGTAAAAATTGGAACTTTCACTTTATTTTTCACTAATTTTTAATACTAAACACAGTAATAGTAAATTTGAAACATGGAATTCAGTTTGTTATTTAATAAGGCTGTGTAACATAAATGAATACTGATTAGTTTTATAAGGAATTGCGCTATCAAAGTAATAGGATTTAAAAAAATAAAAATTTCTACCTTCAGAAATCATGTGTTGTGAAATACACAGTTCCTAATAGATTAAAATTCTTCTTCTGTATTTCATATTCTTTTGATTGCGCGCTATATCACTACACATATATTAAATATTTGATTAAAATTTCTAATTTGTGTGTATGTTACTTAAATAAATTATGAATTTTTTTTTATTCTACGTTTATAATGCTTACAAGTGCAAATCATATTTGACGACATGCATCAAAAATCTGTTTAATAAGTTTTTCTAGCTTTATTTGAGTATATTTGTTTGCGTTACATTTTCTTTAGCTGACATTAATCATTTTGCTATTATTAATTTTACATTCTTTAGTACGTAAATAAATTTTTTAATTTAATTTTTGTACACCTACTTGTGAATACGTTTTAAATGATTTTTGAGATTAGTTACTGAATGGTACTTAATTGTTTTGTCACATTTTTTGCATATTGCCTCTGTATCGCTTTTTGCGATAAAATAATCCCAAGACCAATCGAATTTATCTTCTTTCTTCTCTTCTTCTGATAATATGTCTGGATGTCTCTTCACCAAATGTTCATGTAAATTAGCTAAGGATCTATTATTATATATAGTGATTTCTGCATAATGATTACATTTTGCCTCATTACTACTTGTTAATTTTGTATAATGGCCACGTATCCAACGACGAACTGGGATTGGAATATCGTCTACTTCTTGTTCTGCCATTATAACGTTTTGTAAGGATTATTGGTAACTAATCACAAAAGGTACAGCAACGATGTAAAGAATCGTTTGCAAAAACTGTTGCTAAACTGTTTAGAGACAGAGATATGTACATGATTCTTGGACGGAATACATATAAATATTGATAATACGATAGAAAACAAGACCGTTATGTTAAACAACATTACTTTAAGTCCGAAGCGCTACGGTCTAAGTATTAAGATGTTGAACTAATATATATATTATTCAAACAAATAAATTAATTTCAGAAATGATAATTACGTGTCGATATGGTTGTCGACATTAACGCAATTGCTCTGAAATGTTAATAATCCCCTCAAAATTCCCCAAATTAATCTTAAAAAACTGTACGGAATACAAGAGATCCGTCCGGGATCGATGCCCGGCCGAGGCAATATTTTTTCGCAATAAGTTTATTAGTTTTTTAAGATTAATTTGGGTAATTTTGGGGGGATTATTAACATTTTAGATCAATTGCGTTAATGTCGACAACCATATCGCGTAATTATCATCTCTGAAATTAATTTATTCGTTAGAATAATATATGTATTAGTTCAACATCTTAATACTTAGACCGTAGTGGCTCTTCGGATTTAAAGTAATGTTATAAATATTGATGTTTGTATTTTTGAATCTGTTTGATAACGAGATTTAATAGATCTATTTATATAGCTCTTATATATTACAATATCTAGCTCTTATATTATCTATCTTTTATTTTAGATTTTAAATATTATTTTAAGTTACAACATTTCCCTCCTGAAATGCTCTGTCTATTCGAATTTTTATATTTCGTTATTCTATAGAATTATTCTAGACAACGCTAATTAATCCACAAAGCACAACGAAACGTAAAATATAACTTAGCAATTCATTTATTTATGCATAAAAAGCATAATATACTCTCTAAATCTTTTGAGGTGGAAACTCAATCTTGAAAAAATATGAATTAAAACTTTTCATTCTTGATTAAACAAAAAATAGCAGATAAACTCAATCTTGAAAAAAAATGAATTAAAACTTTTCATTCTTGATTAAACAAAAAGTAGCAGATTTTCATTCTTTTGAAGTAAGATTTCTTTTGGAGTGAGAATTATTTCAAAGGAACAAAATCTTATTTAAAAAGAATGAAATCTCACTCCTCTTAAAGAGTGAAAATGTTCCCATTTTTTTTAAGACTGGCTCACTTTTTAATCTTTTTGTAAAATTTTACTCCAAAAAATTTGAAGAGTATATTTAGCGCAATTTAATTTTTATTAAATATTGAATACTTATTTTGAGATAATTTACCGACATTTTATAGACGCTTTAGCGTTTATTATTACGGTGTCTTCGTTGTGCTTAGCGCTGTGCATAAGCAAGTTCGCGTTACTACTGCTTTCATTCGTTCAATGAAACTTGAGTTGACAGGCGTAGCGCTAACTGTTCCGTGTATCGTCGTGCATTATCTCTTGAAACGTGGTCACAAGTGCTAGAAGATATACATCGTAAAAATCTTCGTGCTTATTAGAGTAAGTGATTGTAAACTCGCATAATTAAAGTTTCATAAACGAATTAAGATAACGATTGCTTGTTGCAAAAATATATTTTATTTAGTAGAAATTAGAAAAACAAAAAATAGTAGTTATTATTTATTTTAATTTATTTATGGATAATAATAATATATTTTTAATACAATATATCGAAATTTCTCTGTATAGTTACTTTAATAAGTTATTT